TCTTTGGATTCCTTTTCTGGAGAATTTGGGGAAGTGGCCAAACCAAACAACCTAAAGGCAGTGTAATACTAGTATAGTTGCCACTTAAAAAAAAAATCAAATAGAAATTTGTTTAAAACTTAGGTACACAGAACCTCGCCGTCGCTGCTAGGGTTCTCCTTCTCCGACGTGCGCCTCTCACTTCGGTGCCCCTCCTTGCTTTTGCAAGGCCTCCCTCCTCTTTCTTTTTCCTGGTTTTTCTGCCTCTCCATTCCATGGATCAGACTCGTATTTTGGCCTGGAACTGTCGAGGTCTTGGAGATACTTCTGCGATTTCAGAGTTGAAGAAACTTTGTTTCCAACATAAGCCCAGCATCATCTTCCTGTCCGAAACAAAGCGCACAGCGGTGGAGATGACCTCGATCCGCCCAGATCTAGGTTTTGATCAGTGTTTTGCTGTTGATTGTGTAGGAAGGGGGGGCGGCCTCGCTATGCTTTGGCGTGACGATTTTAATTTAACTATTTCCACTTTCTCCCAATCTCACATAGATGTGGAAATTGTTGATCCGGGTGGGGGTAAATGGAGACTCACAGGGTTCTACGGACGACCGGAGGCTGCTCGAAGAGAGGAATCATGGACCCTGTTAAAATCACTCAAGGCTGCCTCTTCTCAACCGTGGCTGTGCTTAGGTGATTTCAATGAAATTCTGCGACAATCGGAAAAGGCAGGAGGGAACCATCGACCATATAAACAAATGGAAGTTTTTGCAGAGGCTTTAAACTTCTGCAACTTTAAAGAAATGGGTTTCAAGGGTCCTCAATTTACTTTTATAAGGAAGATGCATGACAATATCATCAAGGAAAGACTAGACAGAGTTTTGATGAATCCGGGATGGTCGGGGATGTTTCCGGGTGCTTTCTCCCATCATTTGCTGGCACTGAAATCGGATCATGCTCCAATACTGGTGATAGCAACAAAGACGATGAATGGTTTTCGACATAAGAGAACTAAGCTGTTTCGATTTGAGAACTATTGGATCAAGGATCCCGACTGTGAAGGAAAAATTAAGGATGGCTGGAAGACTGGAGAAGGAGACACAAACATGTCCCGAGTGTTGTCAAAAATTGCATCATGTGGTTCCCTCCTTATGGACTGGAGCCAACACAAATTTGGCAACATACCAGAAAGAATCAAATTGTTGCAAAATGAACTCTTGAGTGTTCGAAATGGTACAGCACAAGACAACAGCTTAGGAAGGATGGAAGCATTAGAACAGGAACTCAATGATTGGCAGCGACGGGAAGAGGTTTTATGGAAGCAGCGCTCAAGGGTACAATGGTTAAAAGAGGGTGACAAAAATACTGCTTTTTTCCATAACAGAGTTTCGGTCAGGCGCAAAAAGAATCACATTGCTGGACTTCTGGATGATAGGGGCTCTCTTGTAACAGATAAAACAGGGGTAGAAGGACTCTGCATTAAGTATTTCAGAGATTTATTCACTTCTAAATACACTGGTCCGAATTGCAGCATCCTGAGCGCATTACAGGGGAGAGTCTCGCCTTTGATGGCAATTAACCTTGATAGAGACTTTACTAGTTCTGAAGTTCTTGTTGCCTTGAAACAAATCCATTCTTCAAAGGCCCCAGGACCTGATGGGATGAATGTCAGTTTTTATAAAAATTATTGGCATATTATAGGAGGGGATATCATATCCGCTGCACTGGACTTCCTTAATAATGGGCTTATGGTGAGAGATGTGAACCTTACTCATATTGTTTTGATCCCGAAAGTTAAAAGTCCCTCTTCTATGAAGGATTTTCGGCCCATAAGTCTTTGCAATGTGCTGTACAAAATTATATCCAAAGTCTTAACCAATAGGCTTAAATCGATCCTACCGCATATTATATCAAATAATCAGAGTGCTTTTGTTCCTGGGAGATTAATCTATGACAACATCATGGTAGCCTTTGAAGCTATCCATCATCTGAAAAATAAAAAGGTTGGCCGGAGGGGGCATATGGCTGTCAAACTTGACCTTAGCAAGGCTTTCGATAGAGTAGAATGGAATTTCTTAGAGGACACTATGCGAGCAATGGGTTTTCCTGAGCGGTGGATTAACCGTGTCATGATGTGTGTTCGCACTGTGGAATACTCCGTCTTAATCAATGGGTGTCCAACAAAGAAATTCACTCCAAGTAGGGGTATAAGGCAAGGCGATCCCCTTTCCCCGTTCCTTTTTCTCTTATGTGCTGAGGGATTATCAGCTCTATTATCAAGGGCTATCAGTAGAGGGGATTTAAAGGGATTGACTTTGTGCCGAGGATGCCCTTGCCTATCGCATTTGTTTTTTGCTGATGACAGTTTGTTGTTTGGAGAAGCGTCTGTCCAAGAAGCTACAAAGCTGTTGGAAATCTTGAAGGAATATGAGGGGGTTTCCGGGCAGCAAATTAATCTTGACAAGTCATCTATTTTTTTCAGCAGTAATACTTCCAATGCTGTGCAGCAGGGGGTGATGCAAACTTTGAATATATCCAAAGTTATTGTAGATGATAAGTATCTTGGACTCCCCTTAATTATAGGGCGAAAGAAAGCTATCTGTTTTGATTCTATCCGAGAGAGAGTTTGGTCAAAAATCAAAGGATGGAAAACAAAATTGCTATCTCGTGCCGGTCGAGAAATTCTGATTAAAGCAGTTGTGCAAGCTATTCCTACATACTGCATGGGTTGTTTTAAGCTCCCGCAGAATTTTCTTCAGTCCTTAAATAGCATCATTAGCAACTTTTGGTGGGGAGACAACACTGATAGAAGACGAATCCATTGGTTACGGTGGGATCTCATGTGTAAACCTAAGCGCTTTGGAGGACTAGGCTTCAGGGATTTTCGAGCTTTCAATTTAGCTATGTTGGCAAAGCAGAGCTGGCGTTTGATGCAGGATAGGACCACCTTATGCTATCAAATTCTCAGAGCTAAATACTTTCCCAATGGGGATTTATTGGGAGCTTCTGTAGGAGCTAAAGCTTCTATGGTCTGGCGAGGGGTTGTTGATGGTCTTGGTATTCTTAAACTGGGCTCCGCTTGGCGAATAGGCACTGGACAGGACGTCAGACTTTGGAGGGACAACTGGTTGCCTTCTGGAGCCATCCCTCGGCCACGGTCCCCTCTTATCCAACAGGACATGGATGATAGGGTCAGTGCTTTCATAGATGTCAATACCGGCAGCTGGAAGGAAGGAGATGTTCGTCAACAATTCTGTGCAGAAGATGCAGAGAGCATTCTACACATCCCCCTTAGTAGAAGTTGTTCCGTTGATAGATTAATATGGCTTGGGACCAACAATGGCAAATTTTCAGTTAAATCTGCTTACAAATATGCTTGGGAGTTGATCTTTGGCACTCAGCACCACACTCATGATCAAATACTGAAACCAGTTTGGAGATCAGTCTGGTCATTGAATGTCCCCTCTAAACTGAAGCATGTTTTGTGGAGGATCATATGGGAGATATTGCCTTCTCGCGATATACTGCAATTGCGTGGTCTCGAGATTGAGCATGAATGTGGTATTTGCGGTGAAGTAGAAGAATCTTATTTTCATCTGTTTTTTGATTGTGCCTGGAGTAAAGCCGTGTGGAGAGAAATCTTTCCAGCAGCTGTCTCGCATTCTATACAACAGAGTACATTTCTCGATGGCTTTCTTGATTTCTTCCTGGCATTGAGTTCAGATGACAGGGAATTAGTTGCTGTAACTTTGTGGTCTATCTGGAATAATAGGAATCACTGTATCTATAAGCATTCTTGTTATTCACCTGCTCGAAGTATTCGGGCCATTAAAAGCTATATTGCTGAGTATCGGGCAGCAACAACACAGGTTGATGATAATCTACAGGAAATTTTACCTCAACCAGGTCCTGCCGAAGATGTTTGGACTCCGCCTCCATCAGGGGTCATCAAAATAAATGTGGACGCAAGCATCCCACCTCAGTCTGGTACAGCAAGCCTCGGGGTAGTACTTAGAGACAGCAACGGTGGCGTGCTCGGTGCTGGTAAAAAGACCATCAGCTTCCAAGGCAGTGTCGATCA